TTGAATTTAAGTTGAATCAGGGTGAGTGGGACATCTTATTTTACTCTTTTTAAAAAGCTAAATTCGGTGCACACCTCGCTCTGGGGAACACAACCATGCCATTTCCTTCCCCTCTTCTTGCTCCCCGCTCCGGCCCTGCCCCCTGGCATGCATCTCCTAAACTCTGGGGGATCCTATGAGGCTTGCAAATGGGGGAGCAATGGGTAGCAGCAGCTCATCCAGGGCTAACTCCCTGAAACTGTCCTCAAGGCCCCCTTTTCTCTGACTTCCCAGTGAGCCAAAGCAGCCTCACCTAGCTCTCCTATTGCTTCTTCTATGCTAGGCCCTTCCTTGTTTCACTGTCTCCTGCCTTAATAAATGTACCCTCAAAGTCACCTAAAAAAAAAAGAAAAGAAAGAAAAGCCAAATTAAAATGCATTCCTTTTTGTTTATATGTCATCCTTGATGACCTGTCTTTTGCAGGTCGCTGACCTGGAGAAGAACAGGGTCAGAAACAAAGAGGAGGGGGACTGTTCTATTTCCCTCAGTTTCTGGGTCCGAATGGTTTCCTAGGAAATTGCTCTGGGTATTTGAAAAGGAAGTTTGTGCTATTTCCCATGTCGACATATGAATAATGGTAACAGGAACACACATAACATGTCCAATTCTTTCAACACCCTGAGAGGTGGGAGAAAACTGCCCCCCAGAGAAATTCAATCACTTGCTGAAGATACACAGTAAGGAAGTGGAAAGGGGCCTCAGTCAACTGATCTCTCTCAGTAAACACACACACACACACACACACACACACACACACACACACACACTCCCCTCTATGGATGGGTGTTGTCATTTCCTGGTCACTGACTCTGAGGCACAATTAGCTAATGATCCGTGCCACATGCTGAAAAACACTTAATGGCCCCAGGGGGAAGGATGTAGGCCGAGGTCACTAGTGGTTTACCTGCTGGTGAAACTAATAATCTACCAATAATTTGTTCTATTATAGGGTATGGCACTGACCAACTCTAACAGAGCAGGGCTTAAAATCTACAGGCCAAGATGTTCCCTATATTCAGCTCCTGATTCAGCAATGACGGCCTGGCTCTGGTCGCCTGCTGAAAATCCACACTCATCGGTTCTCAGGATACCTCTGATGTGTCTTGCCCAGGGAAAGGAGAATGAGGACCAGTGACTCGGGCACCGTCCCAGCTGGGAGAGCTGAGAAGAGCGAGCTGTGGGACTGGGACACGTCCCTGAATGTCATACTTTTCAATGGCAACACTGACTATAGGTCAGACTGAAGCAGAGGAGCCTTGTGCTGTGGACATTGCTGGGGCTTCACTGGCCAGAGACCAGGTTCTGGCAGAAGCTGGAGGAGGGTTGTGGACAGAGCAGCCACCCACTGACCTTAGCCACTGGGGGTGACTTGGCTCCCTCCTGCCCACCTCCTAGGTGATCTCCCCTTCCCTTCTGACTCTCTGAGTCTGTAAGGTCCAGTTCCTACTCCTCATTCCCTGTGGCCTCCCTTGACCACTCACAACAGGAAAGGTATCTGCTCCCTCTAGATTCCTCCAGTGCTTACTCTGCACATTTGGCCATTAATCACATGACGTTCCCCCTGGCTATCTTTGGATCATTCATACATTCAACAAATATTTGCTAAACAATGCTCTGTGCCAAGCACTGGTAAGCTGGGGACCCTGCAGTGGGTAGGACAGGCCGAGCTCTGCCTTTAGAAGCTCACAGGCAGAGAAAGAAGAGTAAATAATATAGTCACAGGTTGGGGAAGTGCTATGAAGGGGGCTAAGAAAGAGACAGTGGGCAGGGGAACCTCGGGAAAGGCCTCTTTGAGGAGGTGACATTTAACTCATACTAACATTCTGAATGTCTCATATTTAAACCCTGTGACTACCAACAGGCGCGAGGGCAGGGGTAAGTATAACCCTCATGACAAGGGCTGCTCTTCTACCTCAGCCAATGCTCCCAGACAAGCAATATGCCTGGAGTGCCTGCCTTGGTGAATAAGGGCCCCCATCTGACAAGCACCTTTAGTGATCTGGAGGTGGCAGCCACAAAGCCCCAAGCCAGCAGTCCCGGAAGCATCTGACCCCACAGAGTTGTCTCTGGCTCAGAGCCACAGAGCCCAGACCCTAGGAGGCCGATGACACATTGTGCTGGCTGTGCTTGAACAAACCACAGCTTACAGTCACTTGGACCACTGCTGGGAAGCCTGGAGGTTGGTCTGACCTGTCTGAAGGGCAAATTGGCAATATCTGGCCAAATGTACAATGTATATGCCCTCTGCTCCAGCAAATTCCACCCCCTGGAATCTATCCCAGGAAAATACTGGCATGCCTATACAAGAGTATGTGGAGGGATACGCAAGGCAGTACTCTTCCATTTATAGCAAAACAATCAGAAGCAACCTCGGTGTCCACCAGGATACATCATCGTACATCTAATCATGGGAGATCGGAGCCATTAAAGAATTATCGTGAGATCAGATCACTAAGTGAAAAACAGCAGTGCAGGATGTGATTTCTTTATATAAACAGAACAGCTCTTGTGTGTGCGTATGTATGTAAAGCTGTCTGTAAACATACAGGGGACGTCTGCAGACACACACCAGACTGACCCAGTGATCACATCTGCACGGGGGAAGGGATAGGGCCCAGGCGGATCTCCAATATCATTCCATATGCTTCTATGTGGACTTCTTTTCCCTTCCAATGAATCCATGTATTGCTTGTATGATTAAAAATACATTTTAGCCCTAGCTGGTTTGGCTCAGTGGATAGAGCGTCGGTCTGTGGACTGAAGGGTCCCAGGTTTGAGTCTAGTCAAGGGCACATGCCTGGGTTGTGGGCTCGATCCTCAGTGAGGGGTGTGCAGGCGGTAGCTGATCAATGATTCTCTCATCATTGATGTTTCTATCTCTCTCTCCCTCTCCCTTCCTCTCTGAAATCAATAAAAATATACTGGGAAAAAATTTTTTTTAAGATTTTTTTTTTTAAAGGTAAAGGCAATGCCAAAAATTCAGTCTGGTTTTTCGCTGTAGCTGAGTCATTAACACACTCCATCTACCCAGCCTTTGCTTCCCACCCCCAGCACCATCCTCCTGTCTCAACAATTCAGTTCCTCTTGCCTTTGATGGCACCTGACCACTTGCCGAGATCTCCATGCCTTTTACAGAGACCCTTGCTTCATAAAGGTGCCAAAGGCAACACATAGAAAGCTGTTATCTGGCAGTTCCACAGATGCTTCTCAATCACTGCAATCCCACTCCTGGCCCACCTGACACTCATGACTGGACAACAAACTGGGGGGTATTTCAGTGGCGCTCACCAAGCTCCCAGCGTCCCAGGGCAGGCCCAATGCCCTCACATGCCAGTCATCACTTTCAAAGGAAAAGTAGGGGATTTCAGAAAGACCGAAGAGCCAGAACAGGCCTCCAGATTCCTCCAAGACACTAAGTCGAATCCTGCAGGAACAGGTAGGAGGTGCTGAGCACCCACCATCAGTAACTGCTATGTGACAGGCCTGGTCCCACCCAAGCCACAGGCCCTCCATCACTCTTCCTGCTGTTCACAAATCAAGATAAATAGCTGGGCTGGACATTAATTGCCCAGAAATGTCCATGCAGGAAATACCAGACCCATCACTCACAGCAAAAGCCCGAACTCCCTCCTTCTTTCCCAGCAGCTAACCTTGGAGGCAAGCCTCCCCTGGGGGTTATTCAGTGCCATCAGAGTCTCCCCAGCTAGCCCTGCTTCCCTTCCAGCCCATTATGCACAGGAAACGCCTGGCTGTGCCAATGGCAAATGAAATGGTAAACGGTACAACGGATCCCACAGGACCTCCACGATGAGGACAGACCCTGAGAGGACGCAGCACAACGAACAGGGACCTTCGGAGGTGTTTGCTCGTCCACCTGAAACAGAATCTCTGGAAGAGCTTGTGAAAACTTCAGATTTCTTACCGTTTTCCACATCTACTGAGTCAACATCTGTGGAGGTGGGATTAGAAAATCTGCTTATTTTACTGACAATCAAAGCCATGTAATGGTAACAGTCAGATATAACTACAGAATTTAATACAGATTAACAAGCTCCCCCCAGTGATTCTGCTGCTGAAAACCACTGCTCTACAGCACAAGGGGGAGGCTTGCCCTGGGTCAGGGAGGCTGGGCTCCTTGCTGGTACTTCTCATTTAGTGATCCCATGGCCTCCTCTCCTGCTACTCCCAGCTGTGCAATTTGCACTCCAGACTCACCCAATAGCTAGACCCAACCATTTCTCAGGTCCCTGTCTTTGCTCCTGCTATCCCCGGAGCCTTTCCTCCCCCTGTTCCTGCCCTCCCCACCCTCACATGGTGCACTCACTCAGTGCCGTGCAGCCAGGCACTGTTACAGAAAGAGGGTGGTCTCAGAAACCAAGCCTTCCCTACATTTTGTTCTTGGCTCTTCTAGTGACCTTGGGCAAGAGGCAACCTTCATGAGCCTTGATTCCCATTTGTTGTTTTTTTTTAATCCGAGGATACTTCTCCACTGATTTTTAAAGAGAGTGGAAGAGAGAGGGCAAGACAGAGAGAAATATCAATGTGAGAGAAACACATCAATTGGTTGCCTCCTGCACATGCCCAGACCAGGACCCGGGCCGGGAAGGAGCCTACAACCGAGGTATGTGCCCTTGACCAGAACTGAACCCAGGACCCTTCGGTCTGCAGGCTGACGCTCGATCCACTGAGCCAAACCAGCCAGGGCTCGATTCCCATTTATAAAATAGGGCAACACTATGCTTGCTGTGAGAATTCGACAAGGCAATGGCTCAGCATGGAGCCCAATAAATGTTAGCAGATGCAGTTTTCCTGTTGCTCTCATGTCCAAATCTTCTCTACCAGACAATGAGCTACTGTCCCCTCATTCACATCCAAACCCCTAGTTTGCAGAACCCACAGCCTAGGTCAAATGTCTGAGAATACAAAATGAATCCCTGTCCCATGCCACCCTTAACTCTTACCTGCCCAACGTTGAAGGTCAGTGTGATGGCATAAAAGAAATTGGAGTTGGCACTTCCTGCGTAAATCCAGAGGTGCCACAGGACAGGGAAGAGCAGGGAGCAGACGATAATGATGCAGCCGAGGACAAAAATGTTCCGCAGGACTGAAAAGACAGATGGTCACAATGAGCCAGTGCTGATTCTCTGTGATGGCCCTGCAGGACCGAGAGGCCCAGGGAGAGCCTGCTGCAGCCCAACGCAGAACACCCCTCTCCCCTTGCTACTCAGAGGCACTGGGTGCCAACTTAAGACCCTTGAGTCATGGTTGCCTGTGCCCAAAGCCAGTGGGAGGTCCTTGATTTGGACTCCGTACCTCCTCCTGTGCCTCTGGGCAGCAAGACATGCTCTCTACCCCAATCTCAGAGGGTCCTAGAAACACATCTTCCATTCTCCTTAATTCATGTTTTAAGTCTCCTGTCTTGCTCTTCAAATGTCCCTCACTCTTCCGTAGGTGATTTAAACACCTCTTTTAGACACCCTCCCTCTCACATCACACCACCCCAGAGGGAATGCGGAATCCCACTGAGGAGCAGCTCTCCATGAAGCCCCAGGGAGGGCCTGCTACACAGCGCAGCCAGGCAGGCAGGTGCCTTCAGCTGGAGGGGAGGGCAGGCAGCATGACAGTGGGGCACACACTCGCCTTTGCTTGAGAGACCTTGGTTAAAATTCCTGCTTTGTCAGCAAGCTCCTCTGAGTCTCAGCTTCCCCATCTCTAAAACAGGACTAAAACGCCAATTTCATAGGAGTGTTACACGGATTGAACAGGAAAACCTGGCACAGACGGATTACTGTGTTTTTTCTATTCTGCTATAACAAATTACCACAAACTCAGTGGCTTAAACAATATAACTTACTATCTCACAGATCCGGAGGCCGCAAGTCCAAAATGGGTCTCACAGGCTAAAAAACAAGGTACCTTCGGGGCTGCATTCCCTCTGGAGGCTCCCCGGGAAAATCCGCTCGCTTGGCTTTGTAGTGGGTCGAGGCCACCTGCGTGCTTGGCTCATGACCCCTCCCATCTTCAACCAGCAACGTGGAATTACGTCCTTCTCACATTGCATCACTCTGAACTCCTCTCCTGACTCCCTCACCACTTCTTTAAAAAAACAGACTTTAGTCCTGGCCGGTTTTTCTCAGTGGTTAGACTCTAACCGTTAGAGTATCAGCCCATGGACCGAAGAGCTGCAGGTTTCCCAGCCCCAGTCGGGGTACAGGTGCATGCAGGAGGGAACCAATCGATGAGTCTCTCACATCGATGTTTCTCTTTCTCTCTCCCCCTCCCTTCAACTCACTCTAGAAATCAATGGAAAAGATATCCTCAGGTGAGGATTAAAACAAACAAACAAACAAAAAACACACTTTAGTTTTTAGAGCAGTTATAGATTCTCAGCAAAACCGAGAGGAAGGTCCAGAGATTTCCCACATACCCCTGGCTCCCACCTGATTACACTGGGCCCACCTGGACATTCCAGGCTACTCTCCCACCTGAAGGTCCTTTGGCCATGGATGGTGATATAATCACAGGTTTGGGGGATTATGATGTGAACATGGTTGTGGGAGGTGAGAAGGGGGCATTATTCTGCCTACTACACTGTGCTTTTTTTCCTCTTCTAATTCAATAGGGGACCTCTGAAAGTAAGATTATATGTTATTTTTTATTTTTCTTTACACTTTATTGTATTTTTAAGTGAACTAAGAAATATTATTTAAAATAAATTAATTAAAAGAATACCTTGCCCAGCCGGCAAGGCTCAGTGGTTGAGCATCAACCTATGAACCAGGAGGTCACGGTTCGATTGCTGTCAGGGCACATGCCCGGGTTGTGGGCATGATCCCCAGTGTGGGGCTTGCAGGAGGCAGCGGATTGATGTTTCTTTCTCATCACTGATGTTTCTATTTCTCTCTCTTGCTCCCTTCCTCTCTGAAATCAATTAAAAAAAAAAAAAAAGAATACCTTATGAAAACACAAAAAAGCCCTAGCCGGTTTGGCTCAGTGGATAGAGTGTTGGCCTGCAGACCAAAGGGTCCCGGGTTCAATCCCGATCTAGGGCACGTACCTTGGTTGCAGGCTCCTCGGGCCCTGGCTCTGGTCGGAGGCAAACCAATTGATGTGTTTCTCTCACATCTATATTTCTCTCTGTCTTTCCCTCTCTCTTCCACTCTCCCTAAAAAAACACAAAAAAGCCCCCCAAAACAATGGAAAAATATCCTCGGATGAGGATTAACAAAAAAACAAAATAAAATTAAAACATTTAAAAATAAATACAAAAAAACCTCCGCACTAAGTCTGGTAATGGTAGGCATTTAATGAGTCGAAGTTCCCTTCCCCAATCTGATCCTGACCTTCAGGAAATCCCTTCTCCTAAGTCAGAATTTTGGGAGACTGAAGGGATAGGGAAACTCTGGAACCTTAAGGCTTTTGATATCAGCTGTACAAAGACTTGGCTGAAATGCTATTATGGGGGTTTCATGCATTGGGAGGGAGAATGGATTACACAGGTTTCTCAATTTTGGTTGCAAAATGAAATCATCTGTGGAAGCCACATTAAGTAAATCAGAGTCTCTAGGGATGGGTCCATCATAGTTTCTAAAAGCTTACCCCATAAAAATAAAATAAAATAAAATATCTTCCCCCGTGATTGCAATATGCAGCCACGGCTGTGAACCACTGGGTCACAGTTGTAGACCTTACAAAGAGGAGACCCACAGCAGTCTGCAACAGAGACTTCGCTGTCACAGGGAGAATGACCAGGACAGGTAGTTCAAAGTTCTTATGAAAGCTGAATGCTTTCAATTTAAGGTTCATTCTTATTGAGAAATGACAGGTGTTTTTTGTTACTGGTTGTTGCTTTTGTAAAAAGTCCTCTCTTTTATGAAATGAAAATGAATGGTTGGTAGTTGACTGTTTTTTGTTTTTAAAAATGTTTTTATTGATTTTAAAGAGAGAGAGGCAGAGAGAGAGGAAGAGAGAGAAACTTCGATTGGTTGCCTCCTGCATGCACCCTGACCAGGGATCGAACTGGCGACATTTTGGTGCACTGGATGATGCTCAACCTACTGAACTACACCAGCTAGGGCTGGTAGTTGACTGTTTTAATGTCATCAGTAAAATTAAAAGTTGGCAACTCTGTCATCAGAGATTTCTGAAATTTTAGTGGTCTTTGAAATCCCACAATTTAGAAACACTGGCCTGGAGGGGTTCTGAGGTCCTCTTTTCTGATCTGAAATTTCCACAATTCTGGGCTTTCACAGCTGACAGGTTAAAGCCTTCCTGAGACCTCTCATCCTCTCTCCCAGAACAGGAGTCTGGGGAAAGGGATGTGTGCACTGAGAATTATTATTGTTGTTGTTGTTATTATTAAGCAATGTTACAACCTTGAGAAATAATAAACCTATTTATCATTGCTCCACTTCGATATCACTATTTACATTTCAGTGTTCTTTCTTGCCCTCTGGAAATTATTTTGCTGAAAAGAATATACATTTTTCCTGAAAGAGAACTCCAGTGGCCTGATAGCCCAGGTGGGTCTTTATTCCATGCCTCCAGCAACTCTGGACTTCAGATCAGGTGACAAGAAGGTGACCTAGTGCACAGAGACTGAGGGAGGCTCACAGGCAGCTCCTGGGTGCAATTATGAAGACCTGCAAACACACATTCCCATGTGCCTGGAGGAAATGTCACCAGCATCCAGCTGGCTTCTGGCCTGCGGTGACCTTTGCAGGACTGGGGAGCTGCTCCTCACTCCTGCTGGCTGACGGGCCAGAGGATTAAAGCTGTATGCCAGAGAAGATGCAGTAGGGACCCAGGGCACAGGACAGCTTGTTCCAGGCACCAGAAGGTGTCAGAGATGTCAGAGATGACCAGGGCCTAGTGAGACAAAAGGGTTCACCCTTCATGAGACTTGCCAGGCCAGACGGAATCAAGTTCCCCACTACATTCACTGGGCTGGCTTATCCAATCTCTGGCTCCACTATGGACAAACTGAAACTTCAGGCAAGTCACTTTCTCTCTCTAAGCCTCAGACATTCAGAAATAAAATTCCAGTCCCATCAGGAGGAGCACAGAGGGGATTTAAGGACTTCAAAGGTCATAGAGTTGTTCCCTTTCTTCCTCCCTCCCTCCCTCCCCCCCCCACCCCCCACCTCCGCCCTCCCTCCCTCTCTCCCTTCCCCCACCCCCTCCCTCCCTCCCTCCCTTGTTAGGTTTCACCCAAGGATATTTTCCCATTGATTTTTATAGACAGGGAAGGGAGAGGGAGACCAGAGAGAGAAACATCGATG